CGCATTGACGCTGTGTGAATGAGGAGAATGGAGAAGAGAAGAGAATTGAGATTTGAGATTTTGAGGGTTGTGGCCTGTGGGTCTGCTGCCGTGCTGCGTTTACAATAGACCAGGCCCAATCTATTCCCTATAGCCAAAGGCCCAAAGCCCAAATATGTTGTATGTAATGTGTATGTCAATATTACCGGGTACGGGGCGGGTCGGGGGATACAATACCCGGCCCCGGCCCCAACCCCGGTTTGCCTCTACCGGGGATCCCCGGCCCCGGCCCCGGTACCCGTTTTAGCGGGGAATCCCCGTCCCGTCCGGGTCGGGTGAACCGGGTTCCCCACCGGGTCGGGCCAAATCACCATCCCTAATATCACGTAATAATGGAAACTCTCATAATACATAATAAGATCAAATGATTGATTTTTCAATTAAGATTTCGAATCCTTAGTTTTTAAAATACCATTTTTTTTCCAGAACGCTGATATTTGTTTTCACGTTAAGATGTGGACGAATTTATTCGTTTTAGATAGATACTGTGAAGATAATGAGTTGAAACATCTAGTTCGATGTATAATCGGTATCAAAGGTTTGTCCTCGTACAATATACATTTTAATATGAAAACGTCTACTTTGATGAAAACTCGGTGATCAAAGCACTCATTTTAACATGAAACCAAAACCTAATACTTATCCAAAACGTGAAGGAATTTAATATTCAAATACTGAGAGCATGAATAAAACTCTATTATCTGAAACTCGTAAAACATGGATAAAGTTTAATACCCAAAACCACAAATCATGGATAACACTCCATACCTAAAACATCACAAAAAACATGGATAAAACTCGATACCTAAAATAACATCTACCGATGATGGGGGAGACCCTTATCCATCGACTGTGGCAAACACAAAGTAAGCTATACATCAACATTGATGAGCCCCCACTACAGATCATACAGTCATCAAGTTCAACCACCACGATCTATAGCGTGAGTCCTCTGCTGATCCTAGATATGCTCGTTCGCTAGAAATGACAACCATTATAAAATACACGGTCATCAAGTTCAACCATCCACGATCTATAGCTTGAGTCATCCGGTAATCCAAGATATTTCTAGCTACAATATAAGAATAACTATATCATTGCAAACCAACAAACCAACTCTTACCTCTATGGGTCCATTGCATTACAGGCTAAATTACGTGACCCCAATTGAATGACAAACGCACTTAAAACATGTAATTTCTAAATAAATATGTCATAACTACATATCATGTCCAAAGTTCAACAGTCAACACCGAGCAAATTAAACTGGACAAATATCCCCAAAACTCATCTGAATCAAAACCAAGCCAATAACTCAACGACCCATTTGACTAATCAACAACAGTTAATATGATCAATAGAACGCATTACTAACGCTTATGCAAAAATAAGCTCCAATAGTATGATTAATCCCATCTTTAATTGGGACCAATCATTTTACAAAATGAGATCATACCATTTGTACTTCCCGAAATGTCTTGTTACATAAATATATGCATTTTCCAAACGGTTCATAAAATCAAATGCATCACAAATGCATTTAACATCAAATAATCTTCATTTATACAATAAATCATCAAGAGAACTCAGTGCTTTGATTTATTTGTCAAGATGTCCAAAAAAACCTACTCTATATGCATTTTACAAGATTTATAAAATTAAATATTTCAAAGATGCAAATCTTACCAAATAATTAACACATCTGATAATATCAAGAAATCACCTTTAAGACTCTCAAATAGACATTTTTGTCATGTACATAGTTTTCACAAAATAACTTGAAACTCATAATACTAGGTTATGTTAAACCTAAATACCAAACCCAAATACCAAACCCAACTCTTTAACTTCAAAAAATCAAGGTTTGAGGTTCACAAGTAAAGTCCATCCAAGAATATTCTCCAAACATAACCCAATCTTAAAGATGCACCAAATACCAACCACTAGGCATGGTAATGGGGTGGAGACCCCAATTCGCATCCCGGTCCTCGATCCCGATCCCCGTCCCCATAAGATCACATCCCCATCCCCGTTGCAATGAATACGGGGATCCCCCCCCCCCCCCCCCCCCCC